ACAATACACAAGACACAAAACTGAAATCGCTCAACAGATTTGGCTATACATTGCACTCCTTCCTCTCAGCATTTCCATACGATTTTCTGAGTTTCTACTCCGTTCTGCATTGTTTTAACTTCAAACAAAGCAACTGTAAGTGTGATTTGCTACCGAACTTTGTGTTCGCTGAAACACTGGGGTTTGAAGTACCACTACACCAGTGTGTTATTCGTTCTATCCTGGGAGGAAATAATCCATAACCTTGGATACTAGGAGGGGATTAAATTCCTTAAGGAAACACTGTGAATTCAGTGGGCTCGAATTTATTACTGTTTCATTACGATAACTTATATTTTCCAAAATTATTATTTACAAATACAACAATATTAGCGGGACTAACAATGACATATACCAATAATTAACTGATGCAGTACTATAAGAAATCTAAACAATAATGTCCATTGACTTTTGCAAAGTGATGGCTAAGATTTTTCAAAATTACAAAACTGTCCTCATCTACCTACTACTTCATTTTTACATTAGAAACCACCAATTACAGTCCTTTGTCAATTGATCCCTTGCACCTAAGAGTTTCCGACCTATCAACAAAAGTTGTGTCAGAGGGGCAAGCACTCTTTTATTCTTAGAGCTTGTTTGGACATAAAAAAAATTCTTTTTTTTTTTTCGAATTTTTTTTACTTTTTTCGAAAAAATTTCACTTTTTTACGAAATCAGTGTTTGACCATAAAATTTTCAATTTTCACTTGAAAATGAATTTTAAAATTTTTCGAAAAACTCCGAAAAACTGTTTTTTAAAATTTTCACTCATATCACTCGCAAAAATTCAAAAACAACCCAAAATTATATTCATGTCCAAACACAACTCTAATTTTCAAATAACATTTTTACTTGAAATTCTTTTTCACTTTTTTTTTTTGAAATTTTACATTTCTTATGTCCAAATGCCCACTTAATATATCAGAAGTTGCGGGTTCGAACCCTGGATATAGAGTTACTTTTGTTAAAGAAAGTTTTACTCCCCAATGCGAGATTTTCTGGTGTAAATCTGGATTTAATCGGGCCTAAATATGGATAAAACCCAAAAAAGAGTCTCTGACCTAATCACAAGAATAATATGTTGCGATGATGTCCTACCTACTATCTTCTGACCCTACCCAATATTCCTTTGTTTTACACTTAACAATACATATGCAATAGGTTCATGATCTAGATCTAGTTATAAATGGAACAAGCACAATTTATTGGTTTGATAACATTGAGATTTTAACTCGTCGATAATCAAAGCATATCGTTCCCACATGATTGAATATTGATTTTGAACTAATGTATGACTAAATTATATTTAACTTGTTTTAAAGTAAAACAATTGATCAAAACGTAAAATGTAGTTCTATTTAAAAATGAAAAAAGTCAAAATTTGTTTGTAGTTAGTTAATAGTGGGTTTGTCGAGACTCGTTCATATATAATAAAGTGGAAAGACAACATTGAATCATAATAGATCGTATCTTGAGCACAACTCGCTATTAATAATTCATATGATACTCCCTTATACAAAATCTTGAACAAATATATATCACATAAGATTAACCCAATAAATAAGGATTAATTAGAATAGTTTAATTATGTGATTAAAAAACTTTTCATATTTGTCCATGAGCTAAGCTTCTAGAACATCAACCACTGTGCTAATAAACCTACCATTTGCTTACAAAGTCCTTTCGGATAGATCAGTTTAATTTTGACCTCTGACTAAATCATTGGAGGGAAAGCGTGTCTCATACCCTACTACTACTACTACTTTATAATTAGAAAAAAGAAATGAGTCATAAAATACGAAAATGGGGATACATATTTTAATTATTGGAATATTTTCATGGAAAGAAATCTTTAGCCAGTTCTGCATATTTAGGTTAAGAATTAATTAGTAGTATAACGCTATAACCAATGATTTGCTAAATATAATCACTGTATTTTTTATTACGCTATGCATAATAAAAAATACTCTTATATATTTTAACAGGCTGTCCTAGCAAACTTTAAGCAAGTGATATATATAACTAAGAAATGTATTTGTCCAAAACTAATTAATCCTTTTCTTTGTCCTATTTAAAGATTTTTGTAAGACATAATTTTTGTCCTATTAGCTATTTTCAACAACATATTTTAATATTGGTGGATGATCGGCAAGTCGTCAAAAATCAAAGAACCCGGGCGTGGAAACGCGCTGGAGAATTGGCCAAAGCAGTGTCTGAGATTTCATTGAATTTCTTATTAGTATTAATTTGTATGTTGTGTATTTCTTGAAATTTCAAAAAACAAATTTGAAAATTGCTCAAGAAGAATTTCTGCCCAAAAAATATTTGATAAAAAAATTAACTAATTGACAGAGAGTATTTTTTTTGGTGAATTTTCACCAAATGAATTCAAAAAAATACAAAGTAAGCATGCGAAAAAATTAATGAGATTCACCATCTAATATATATACATGAAAAAAATTATTTATATACACAATATAATTTTCAGCAAAGGAGATTCGGCTGAACCCCTTTCCGTCTCTTAGCTCCGGCCGGTTCATTGGCCCAACTACTCAAGATTTGCATCATGAAAACTTATTAAAGGAGAAATACATTCTACTACGAGTTTCTCCATTTTCAAGGCTCGTATTCATCCCACCACGCCTCTTGTCGGTAATTAAAGGTGAGTGAAACAACTCCAAAGTTTCTCTTTAGGGATGGATCCGTTAGAAAATGGAAACAAATGTAGAAAGTCTGGAAACAGATTTCTTCCAAAAGCTTCCTAAAAACAAGTAGTCCTACAGAAACAAAAGTCAAGATAAGAGGGCAGCCAAGTCATTTTCCATTCAACCAAATATGTTAGACTTATGACTCCCTTTTGCCCACCACTTCATAAATAATACTCCACTACTTTAATTCGTCCTTCTAATATTCTTTCTTTATCTACACCTCTTTATACACTTGTAGAAAATGTCATAAAATTGGACTGGTCAAAAACAATTTTATATGGTATATACACGTATAAATGGGAGAAAATTAAACAGTGCATGAGATCATATTGTTGTATACATATAAAGGTGTTCCTAGTCTTTTTTCTTTGTGTCAGGTAGCTAAAGCAGTTGGATGTTTTGAATATTAGCCTTTTGCTTTCTCCTTATAAGTCCTTAGCAAACCATTTCCATTTCCATATCCAAACAACCACATTTGTTTCCTATTTCTTGTTCTCTTTTCTTCTCCTCTTAGAACAACAAAAACAATCCCATATATCATATTTTTATATATACAAAGAGAGGAGAAGTGACTTTTTATATATAACAAATGACAGTGATGAAGATTGCATGGGAATCTTTAGTTCCAAGCTGTATTAAGCCTGATCAAAATACGAAGAAAAATCCAAAGGAGAAGGTCATTAGAACACAAATTTCATTCCATGGGATTCCAGTCTCAGATATTAGCTCTTCAACTCTATCCTCAGATCTTTCAATTTCTCTGGCTGGTTCAAATATTCATTCTTTTAATCTTCAAGAACTGAGAGTGATTACACAGAACTTTTCGACGAGTAATTTTATTGGTGAGGGAGGGTTTGGACCAGTTCATAAGGGTTTCATTGATGATAAACTTAGACCAGGTTTGAAAGCTCAGCCTGTAGCTGTTAAACTCCTGGATTTAGATGGCTCACAAGGTCATCGCGAATGGCTGGTACGTATTATACATAATACTGTAGTTATCTTTTAAGTTTTTGTTTTTGGTAAATGATATTTGTACTACGTATGATTGATAATATTACTTATTAACTTTGTTAAAATGTGTTTTATTATTTTGAACAGACTGAAGTGATATTTCTTGGGCAATTGAGGCATCCACATTTAGTGAAGTTGATTGGATATTGCTGTGAAGAAGAACACAGATTGCTAGTGTATGAATACATGCCCAGAGGCAGCTTGGAAAATCAGCTCTTTAGAAGTATGTTATCTTTTATCATTAATCCACTAGCTAATTTAAAAGTACTTAATTAGTATGTACTCAACTTTTAAAAAAACGTTTGTTAATTCTTTAATATTTATGGCTTTTGGAAGTTCGAGTTATTTTCATTTTGCTCCTTAGTTTTTTTGGAAAATTACGCAGCCGCTACCCTTCGGGTGGGATAACTTGTTTACTGTGCAATACCTTGCAAATCATACATGAGATATAAACCGCACTAGACAAGTCCGATACGACAAAAATTTTGCTCGTTAGCTGTAATCCAGTAATCCACATTGAATCGGTCATAAAATTCGAAAAATTTAACAATTGAAATATAATATAAAAAAGTCAATAATATGTAATTTTGTGAACGTTGACTGAGGTTGTTGTACCATACTTTTTCTTTCTTTTACCAATTCCGGATGTTAATTGGCGATGAGTAAGAGTAGGTCAACTAAAGTTTAGTTACAAAGCAACTATCTGTTTTGCACGTAGAAAATCTTACTTTATCTCATTAATTATTGGTGGATTGATATCACCAATTATCATAAATAAAAAAAGAAAACTTGTTCACGTTGTTTAACGAATGCAAGTTAATTTTTTTTAACATATAGTTATTGTTGAACTAATGGATTTTATTTTTGAATTTTTTTCAGGATATTCAGTATCACTTCCTTGGTCAACAAGGATGAAAATAGCACTTGGTGCTGCAAAAGGTCTGGCTTTCCTACATGAAGCTAAAAAACCTGTCATTTATCGTGATTTCAAGGCTTCAAACATCTTGTTAGATTCAGTAAGTTCATTTCCTTTTTTCTTTTCTTTTCATAGTTAAAGTTCATTCAGTGGCGGATCCAAAATATTTGAAGTTTATGGCTTCTTATAGAGACCTGATAATCAAATATTTATAAATATTCAGTGAATGTCGTAATACACAAGTACAATATTTGAGCTAAAACTACCCGGGTCAACGTGGATCCGTAGCTAACACCATAGATCCGCCCTGAGTTCAAGCTTGCTAAACCCTAATTAACCAATATGATCACATATAGAGTAGTTGTTGACTAATTACAGCCACACCTCTTTATAACAGTTTCGCCTATTCCGATATTTTTTTGGTTGCTATAGTGTAGTGCTGTTATAGAAGACATATATGATAACCTAACATATAAACCGCTTCCGAAAAAACCTGACTTTTATAGTGAATAGTTGTTATATAAAAATATTGTTATAGAGATGTCTTACTGTAATTAATTTTTATTTGTCTTTTCTTCATCAGGATTACACTGCCAAACTCTCAGATTTTGGACTTGCAAAAGATGGTCCAGAAGGAGATGACACACACGTTTCTACTCGAGTCATGGGTACACACGGCTATGCTGCTCCTGAATACATAATGACTGGTAATAGTTTCATTCTACACTACAAATAAAATTACACTGTTGTAATCGAACACACTTTTAATTGCTTAATTATGTTACGTCTCAACACTATTGTAGTCAGAAATGCTAATTCTATTGAAATCTTGTGTAGGTCATTTGACAGCAGCAAGTGATGTCTATAGTTTCGGAGTAGTACTCTTGGAACTTCTAACAGGTAGAAGGTCAGTTGACAAAAATCGTCCACACAGAGAGCAAAACTTAGTAGATTGGGCGCGACCACAACTAAAAGACCCTCGAAAACTACGTAGAATAATGGATCCGAGACTAGAAGGCATGTACTCAGAAGAAGGAATTCAAAATGCAGCATTAGTAGCATATCAATGTCTAAGTCACAGGCCAAAGGCTAGACCGGACATGAGCACAGTGGTGAAAACCCTAGAACCATTGATGAACTATGACGATAGTTCGTCAATGGTAACATTTGTGTACACAGCTCGAGCAGAAAGCAATGAAGTTAGTGAAAAAGATATTCAAGGAGAAGATGGCCAAAAGGAATTGAAGAAAGAAAGTAGTAGTATTAGTCCTCATCACCAAAAACAACACCATAAAAATCATAATAAGCATAGAAAAGAACTAAGTCCAAATTCACCATTGCACAATGGTTTTAAGAGAGCTTAATTAGATTAAATTATCAAACTGTATATGAGATACTTTAGATAGAGGATCACTCCTATGTACGTCCATAGTTCTTTTTTTTTATCTTAATTAACTTCGTTATACTTCAAATTTCAGGAAAAATATTTGAGCAAAAGCTCCTTTTTTAGGTTTCTATTTTTTTTTTTCGAATTATTCTTCCCCTTTTTCTTTTGAATGAAAGTTGTACTTACATTAGCCTTTTCATTTTATTTTAGTAAAACCAGTTACACTTAGCTTTATCTCAATTATAGTGGAAATATATGAAAGTGATATATTTATTAGTGGAACAATTTAATTAGATGAAAAATCACTTCTTCCTTTTTTGCTGCAAAATATATTTTATATTATAGCTAATATTCATAATGCATTGATTTTGGGATTATTCTACTATATTTCGTCCCATTTTTATACAACACTACACCTACAAATTGAGAGAAGATTGTTACCAGCTTTTATATAATTAGCTGTATTTTTATGTACGTAGCATAATTGAAAAAAAAAAGAAGATTCAAAACACAGCTAAACTGTTTGAAAAATGAGACTATCCACGCTTTGCCTTCGTCATTTAAATAAGATTCATGTGACTCTGACAAAATATCCATGACAAGGATTCTGTTTGCACTTCATTTTTTTGTAGGATCAAATCCATTGTCTTTGGATTATGCTTCCAATTTATGGTAACAAAACCTAAGCCCAAAATCACAACGAAGCTAACGGAATTTCATTTCGGAGTCGTTTTCACACAATTTTGATTACGGTGCTAATCCTAAGGCTTAATTAAACCTCCATTTAGGGACTAAGTACCCCACTACATAAGGTATTAATTAACAAATATACACTTAATTGCTAACAGGGCACAAATCTAGTGCAAATGTTATGAGTTCACGTGACTTTTGCCTGGATTATGTATTTGTATTACTAAAAAATTAATTAAATGAGTAAGAATATATTTAGCTTGGAATCTGGTTCATTGTTCTGATTATCATTGTATATTAAATTGAGATTGTTGCACGAACCAATAAACTTAAAATTTTGGATTAGCCTTGACTTTCTAGTACGTGTTTTAAGAAATCACAAGCGATATATATATATATATATATATATATATATATAAACAAAAAAGGCTTTTACTGGCAATTAAAATACTCTTTAGCGGCAATAGAAATGGCCGCTAAAATATTTACCGGCCATTAAGTATTAGCCGTTGTTGCTAACGCCGGCAAAGGCTTTAGCGGTCATTAGAGGGACTGCTGGTAAAGATCACTATTATGGCCGGTAAAAGTCCTTCAGATTTAGCGGTAATTGTTTACTGGCTATTACAATGGCCATTATAACTCTCCAAAAATTTCATAAGTCATACTAAGGGTGGCAAGTGGGCCGGTCCAGGCCCGGGATCGCGGGCCAAACGGGCTAAACGGGCCAGGACCGTTTGACCGGATTTAGTGGGCCTGTGCTTGTCTTGTGGGCCGGTCCTATGTTTTGGGCCCGCCAGGCCCAGGACCATTTAGCCCGCCAGGGACCGGGACCGACCCAGGATCGGACCGGTCCCTTAGCGGGCCAAACGGTCCCAACGGCTATATTTTAAAATAAAAAAAATTAATATAGTTGTTGGCTATTTATAAAATAGCCATTTAACCGCCCAACTTTGTTTTAACCCCAAACTTTTTATAATTACACTTTTTTCCTATTTTTAACTATAAATACCCCCTCATTCTTTTATTTTTCTTACAAAATCATCAATCTATCACAATCTCTCTCTAATTTTCTTCTGTAATTGTTACTATTGCTTACTTTAGTATTAACACGAAAGGACCAAAGTATGGTACTTTTTAGCTGGTATAAATATGTGATGATGGAAGATCAAGTTTTAGCTCCACTCAGATTACAGTTTTAACTAATTTTTCACTCTTAGATATATTATCCTCTCTATCGGCTAGCTACACCAGTAACATAGCTAAATATAATGTTGCTTAAAATCACAACAGAGAATTTGGCAGCTGATGACCCCATTAGCCATATTATATATAGTATAATATGATATAAGATTATATATCTTTTAGCTATGCTACTGGTGTAGCTAGCCGATAGAGAGGATAATATATCTAAGAGTAGAAATTAGTTAAAACTGTAATCTAAGTTGAAAACTTGATCTTCCATCATCCCATATTTATACCAGCTAAAAAGTACCATACTTTGGTCCTATATATATATATATATGTATATATATATAAAAGCTATATTCGATAAGCTATATATACATCTTATATACTATATATAAATACTATATATAAGATGTATATATAGTATAGTATAGTATGTACGTATAGTATACTATATATATAAGTTATATTCGATATAAAATGTATATATAGTATAGTATTTTTTTTTTTTGTGTGTGTATATATATATATATAAAAGCTATATTCGTAATTAAATATTAAATATTAAAATTTAGGATGTTAAATAAAATTTAGGTCACAATTCTATAATAAAATTTACAAAGCATTGCCTTAGATATTTTTTTAATATCCTTTTGTCTCTAACATCTATTTAATTTTTTTTTTAAAAAAATCGTTGGGCCCACTTAGCCCGTTTAGCCCCGCGGGCCGGGACCGTTTAGCCCGTTTAATTTGGGACCGGTCCGGGACCAGGACCGGGACCGTTTGAACCGGCTCACTTGGCCCGTTTAGGTCCGGGACCGGCCCACTTGTCACCCTTAGATCATACATTTTGCAGCTTTTGTTATTGTCGCTGAAGACTAATCTAATTGCTGGTAAAAGGAACCCCTTTTGGCAACAAATATAATGGCCACTAAAACTATCATTGATTTCACCTTTACTACTCTATTTGCAGGCTTTTGTTATGGACAATAATCATTTATCTAATGGATATAAAAACATCATCTTTTAACATCAATTTTTATTGCGCTAAAAATTAATAAAGTATTTTCCAATATTTACTAATGCATGTTATGCCTATTTACATTCAGAACTAATTATATAATATTTCACTTCAAAAAGCATAATGCTCACTAAATCTGCAACAAACAAAAACTTCTAATTCATAATTTAAATCGTCAACAACATAAAAGAATGCTAAACTATTTGAATCTAATAGATATTGTCGTTTTGCGTTTGACAAATTATTTTATCAAGTAGCTACAAATTACACAATTGATGACTTAAGAAAGATGCTCCAACTCTTGATCATAGTGACTGCCACATACTAAGTTTTTGAACACTACAATGTATGACTTGGAATGATAAAATAAAATAAATATTAAATAAACAACCACATTTGATGTTGATTAATAATCAAGAAAATAACTCCCTGAATTTTATACACTTGTACGAGTGGCATATCAAGAAATTGCTACTACTAAAGCCAATCAAAATCAAGTGTACAAGAAATGTTATTCCTTTCTTACTAACCATCGCAACACAAATAAACTCAAAAACATTATAGATACGAAGGCCAAATGTCAATCCAAACATGAAGACATTTTGTTATACTCAACAAAGGGCATTCCCTTTTGTCTTTAATCAATCATAGATCTTTGAGATACTATAATGTCTATTCTCGTATGGTTACAAGTATATACATATGGCTATGAAACTTAAGACTGTCAATGTAAATTCATTATGTAGTTGAGCACCTGCACAAAATATATATTAATATTTTTCTTTATTTATTTATCCAGATAAGTACTTTCTGGGTTTTAGTCAAAGAAATGCTTCATGTTCTAGCAGTCACCTTCTATAGCACTTAATAGAAAAATGTCAAGCCTCAAGATTTTGTGTAATCAATTTATTAGGATTATGCCTACAAACTTCATAAAGACCCTATATGATTTTAAGCATGCAACATAAACTTGGTACACTAAGTTTGATACCTCTTTTAATGTAACATCAGGGATGATACATCAATCACATGATAGTAACCAAACAACACACTTGGAAGTTCAAGTATTGTCTTTCAGCCAAATTGGAACATGAAATTTTATACACATACTATCTAAAGAAAAATAGACTAGAGGTGGCGATTGAAAGTCATGGGCAAGATACTACATCCCACATCCAAGGACAATAGTTATTGGTTCAACCAAGCAACTAGCCAAGCAAATAGCACAGAAATAGAAAAAAAAAAGTATTCATACTCGTAGTCGAGGCTTTTAATGGGGTAATCATTGGCTCCAACAATAGCGATTTGGGAGGTGTTGTTGACTCTGCTCTTGGATTTGAGGAAAGGCTCTTTGATACCACTTTCTTAAACCATCAAAATATTTCTCTTCAAATGAATCGGTCTGCATATTTTGTTCTCCAACTGAAGCGTTCTTATCAAGCTGCAAGAAGAAAAATTATAAAAATTACTTCATAAAGATCTGATCATTATGTAGTCCTATGCCTTTGCCTTCAATGGCGGTATCAAATAAAGTACTATGATTAATTATAGCTGCCAACCAGAAATTAGCCACTTCAAATAATTGATTTTAATTTGCTTCAAAAGCTACCTTGAGGTTATTATTACCATAGTTTCTAGATTGTAATCGTATTGTATGAACACATTACACCCTCCGATCTAGTAAATATTTGAAGCTGCTATGTACTTAGTTTCAGAATAAGTAAACTGATCTACATTTCTTAAAACACCTAAGGAAAAGCAATGGCACTATAATGAAATATCTTTCTGCTGATTATACCAGTGCATCATGTCACTAGCCATAAGTCATTCTATTGAAGAAGCTTCTTTGATTGAAAGGCACATGCAATGGGATGGTTGGATTTGAGCGGGATACAAGTATATCATAGAGAAGGATCACCTCACAAATTTTCAACTCAAGTGTTTATAAATTTTTCAAAGTCAAATGATTTAAAAGTACAAACTCTAAATTCTAGAAAGTTAAGACACACCATTGTAGTATTTTGACAGCAAGAAGTTGGTAATTAATCTAGATGAGTAAGGCACCCCTAAAGTTTTAAGAGTTTAAGTGAGCTAGTGGAGGATTTGTAAAGGAAATTATTTGAGAAAGATGAACTCTTGAAAGAAGTAGAGACCTTGATGAATGAAATAGTGTTTACTTATGTTGAACTTGATGAAATGAAAAAGGCAACTCGAGAGGGCTCTTTA